GCGAGGGGCGCGGGGGCGGCTTCGGCTAACGGGAGGGGCACTGGGCGCGGTTGCACTCGCCCTGGCCGGCTTGTTGGGTTCCCCTTTCATGGGGCTCCTTTTTTACATAGTCTTACGAGAAAAGGGGCACGAACGCCGCCGCCCCCCCCGTAGCTTTTCCTTCCTCCTCCTTCCCCTTCCCTTTCCCCTTCCTCTTTTCCTCTTCTTTTCCTCTTCTTCCTCCTCTTCATTTTTCCCGTTTTCTTCTACTACTCCCTTTTTCTTCCCTTTCACTCTACTTTCCTCCTTCTCTTCCTCCTTCGCCTCCTTTTTCCCTTTCCTTCCCTCCCTCCTTTTTCTTTGTCTCTTTCCTTTCTTCCTCTCTCCCTTTCCCTTTTCTTTTCACTTATCCTTTTCTCTTCCTCCCTTCCTTTTCTCCTTTTTTCTTTTTCCACTTCCTTCCTCCTTCCCTTCCCTTCCTCTTTTCCCCCTCCCTTCCTTCCCCTCCCAGTTCCTTTCCTTTCTTCTCTGTCGTTTCATCCTTCTCTTTTCCTTTTTCCCTTCCTTCCCTCCTTCGTCTCCCATGTACACTATTTTCTTGTTCAGCTGGCCACCTTAAAAGGAGCAAGAGGGGGAAAAGCCCAGGGAAGGTTTTATAAGATGTCCCTTATGTCTGAATTGTCTAATACCACAAATAAACCAGAAGTTGGGGGCTTCTTCTTTATTTGCTTAGCTACCAACCTAACAGTTGAGGATAGAGAAGGAAATCCACCACCTAGGAGAACCACATGCCTTCCCTTTTTCCTTACTGCAGCCCAAGAGGAGGCTCATTGCCAAGTGACAGTTGAGGGAGGGGCCAACTCAGGGAGGTGAATGTTTCAGCCACATTGATTGTGGCCCCCATCCCTTAATCTGTTGACTCAGAGATAAGTCTAGCAGTTAAGAGATTGGTCCAAGTTCAAGAGAATGGTTGGCCTTATCTCACCGAGTTACTGTGGTGCAGAGAAAATGAGGGGAGGGGCCCATCCAGCCATGATGAGCTTTTGAAGGATATCAGTCGAAATAATAATAATCATAACAATAAGCCTTCAAAACTCTGTGAATGGGATGAGGACTGTCCTGCTTACAGACCTTCAGTTAGAAGAAGGTCCTTGTCAACTAGATCAGTCAGGACACACCTAAGTGCAATGTCCCTTGTGATGTTCAGCTCCTTGCTCTCTCTCTTTCTCTCTCTCTCTCTCATACACACACACACACACACACACACTTTTTTGACTTGAGACAGTTGGCTTGGTTGACTTGCTTGAGCAAATGGAAGGTATCTACAGTATTGAGGAGGTAGTTTTGAGTGCACGTTCAAGAGATCTTCCAGGGCTACTACTTTTTCATACAATAAAAGGGGGAAACGATTCCATACATGACCGGAGAGAAATTGGGTTGAATGAGTTGCCAATGGAGTCAAAGCAAATCTTCTCCTGACTACAGTTCAAAACTGAGTTATTTTTCCCAGGGTTTTGAATGCCTCCTTTCTAGTTTTGGTGTTCTATAGTCACTGTTATTTTTTTAATGGATACTAGTCATGTTTTTACTGTACTTTGTCCACACCTTAGAGCAGTTAAGGGAGTTGGGCATTTTTTAAAGGAATAATAATAATAATAATAATAATAATAATAATAATAATAATACCAGTTAAAGTGAACGTATTTTTGTCCTGGCCATACTGCCATGACTCTCTGGAGGCCAAAAAGCCAGAAGGAATCTGTTAGCTCTTTTTTCAGATGAATACATTTTATTAAAAGGCATAAGCTTTCAGTCTGAAAAGGCACCACCAGATCCCTCCTGATTTTTGGCTACCATAGACTAACACACCTCTCCTCCTCCAAGGTCTACTTTCCTGCTGTCCCAGCAAACTGCTGAAAACCTCAATGGGCAGAAAATGTTGACCTCCCCCGAGCTACATAACCCCGTTGTCTGTGCCTTTTAGGAAACGCAGCCCTCGTCTGAGACTCTTCAGAATCTGCTCTTTGAACTGGAAGTCGAGTGGATTGTTTTCTGAGTCTTCCCCGTGACGTTCTCCTGTGTCAACATTAATGCAACTTGCGCACGGGAGAGGAAAAGAAACAGGGGCTTGACCTGGAATTCCGAAAGGACAAATCATGAGAACGGCCACTCGACATTTTAAACAAGAGCCTTAATCCTCCAGAAGCGAAGATTCTGGCAAGAGGTTCTGACATCTTTCGGATGACAAGCACATAATTGGATTGGAATATCCTGGCGAGTCCAGAACGAGAGCCAACGGAGAGAGGATGGGGGCTTTCAAACTGGCCTTCTTCGGATCTTGAAATCTTCCCAGAGGCTACTGCAGTACATTTTCTGAAATTCCTTCCAGTCAAAGCCAGCTCTTTGCAGTTCCAAAGGTGAGGCCTTTGGACAGCTTCCACCAATCCAAGCCGTGCTGTTTGTCTCTTGGCTTAAGCAGCCCGCAGACCCCGGGTCTCCCTCTTCCCTTAAACACTCCCAGTTTTGCCATTTTCAAGGGTTCAAAGAAAAAGAAAGGCCCTGCTTATGGCCTGATTTGAAAGATGTGGGGGCTGGAACACCAACATCCTTGAAAACGCAGAGGGAAAAGGGTCTTTTTTTTTTCTTTCCCAAACAGAAACAACTGATGGAGAGACAGTGGCCACATCTCCCAATCTTCTCTTCTTCCAAACAGCTCAGAGCTGCTGACTCAGGGTTTCCAGAGCCTGTCTAGCATTAACTATAAATTGTCCCGTGGCACAAACTTTCCCAAACTGCTGTTGCCCAAGTGTGCCATGCTGTAATTCCCATCACCCCCAACCAGCACCATTTGGATCCAATATATCTAGAGGGCAGAGGACTGGGTAAGACGGGGCTCACCCATTCAATTCATGTCAATATCACTGGAGTTTTAATCCAGATGTTAATGTGAAGAGTAGCCCTTTGCTGACTCCTTGGGAAAGGTATATAATTCTTCTTTGCCAGAGGCTCCTCTTGCAAGAGAACAGTTGGAAAGCTGGATTCCCCCATCACTCTGAGCTGTAGTTTGCCAACCACCCTGACTGGCTGAATAAATCACAGTTGGCCAAGTTTGTGCAAAAGCCATAGAGCACGCTTTACAAGCTACAGCAACTGGTTTTGCACAACACTGAGCTGAAACCGAAAAGCTCACAATGGCGTCATGCAGGGGTGAGCAACCTGTGGCCCCAGGGTGATTTTTGACTCTAAATGGCCTTTTGTCTGGTCCTCATGGATCATGGTTGCTGAAGTTCACAAGATGATATCCCAGCATTTTGCAATGGGAAACATCCCAAAACTACAGTGTAAGTCCTAAAATAGCATGTTTGGTAAATAAAGTGGGGAGATCCTCAAATTGCTCCCCAAAACCCAGCCTTGATCAGGTGGGGCATCCTATTTTGTGGCCCTCAAGCCTATCAACAAATGATAAGGTAGGTTTTCGTCCCCAAAAGTTGCCTCCTCAGATTTGTGGGACGGATTTATCCTCTGCAACTGAATCCCAAGAATGTGTGTGCACAGATGCTTACATAGTTGAGGGCACTCCCTGAATTCCTGCAAGGAGAGTAGAGGCATTTGCAGATGTTCATCTCTGGCAGTTCCTCTCCCAAGTCCAAACAACGTAACCTTGAAGCAAGGATGGAGTAAAAGCATTGGATTGCTCATCTACCTCACTAACTCTTAGAACTATCTGGGGTCATACAATATGCAAAGCACACGTGGTCATAAGTTTGATCCTCGGTGGGAGAAGATGTCCTGCAAGCTCTTCAGGAGAGCTTCATGTCTTCTGTACGTTCTTCTGCCCCATGATGACTTTCTTGAAATTAAGGGAAAAGAAAGAAGGCAGTAATAAGGCACAGAAAAGGTACCTCAAAATCCTTGCTTTCTCTCTGTTTTGGTTTGTTTTTTTGCTTTATTCCCTTTTTTTATTCATTCCTTAGGAGTCCTGAGGCACCTTAAAGCCTAACGCTATGTTGAGACAAGCCTCACAGCTTAATTCAAATGTAAGCAGAGCGCCCTCTAGTGGACATGTATGATAGAGCAAGATGCTATTGAACAGCAATAGAAAGTTATTAAAATATGTTTCTGAAGGCAGTTTGGCAAATCATTTCCTTCCTATTGAGCCCCCCCATCCCCCCCCCGCAAATCACTTCTATTACGTTTCCAAATTTCTGCTCACGTTAAAGGAGACATTATTAGGGTCGTGTCCAAGCAGGATAAGACTGATTCATCTGATTCAAATTGCCCATTTGGTTCAGGTTTCTGAATTCATTTGATTTGGATTTTCGGATCTAAATCCAATTTAGAAAGTCTTTTTTGGTTTGGTAAAAACG